ATATATATATACACACACATACATACACACACACACAGGCACATACACAAACAGAACACAATAAAGTATTCCCGTTGTTACTTGTCATACGTTTGAGGCATAAAAAAATATTCTTATCGGATTCGAGCCTCTAGGTAGTCGGCATTTGCCAAATTCGTAACTAACTTCAAGGACTGACGATTCGCCAACTCATCAAGCAATAAAAATGTCCATTTTCCGCCAGCTGCAACTTAATTGTATTCCAAAATCAGGCACCATGCTGATAATACCATCAATATTCACACCTGCACGTTATGTCATCGATTAGACTTCGCATGAGGGAATGTTTTAACAAAATACAAAACCACGATTAAAGTATCCCATAGCTTGTGAATGTTCTCTTCAACCTACCGTCCGGGACCAACGTGGGATGAATAGGATGCTACACCCAAGTAGAAAGACGGGGATATGAGACAGAATAAACCATCCCATGTTGCAGTCAAAACTCACATTATTGTTGCCTGCAACGAGGAGGACCCTTCTAATTAGAAGACATACTTTCGTTGTCAGATGATCAAGCTGCAGCGTATAAAATGATTAAGAACTCCTTCCTTATAATAACAAGAATAATAAAGTCAACTTCTATGTAATCTAGAGGTTTTGTTTTGTCTGAAAGAAACCCCCGGAAAATGGTTGAACAGTAAAAGGTTTAACGCCCCTATCAACAACTAGCTTATTTAAGATAAATAGGAGCAGATGATCGAACCCAGGAACACGCAAATTCACAATAAGGAGTCCGGCAGCCTAACCACTAGGCTACCAACGCCACCCAAAAAGCCCCTCTTTTGCTTCAAGAAGACAGATAGTGCAACCAAAGGTCACAAATGTGGACTGTATGTCCTAGTACTGGTGTCCGAGTAGAGAGATAAGGGGTGAAGGCACATTCTGACAAAATGTAAAATGTAAATGTCACTTCATCCTTATCTAAGCTTCACAATTTGCAATAAGCTGTCTTACAAATACCAGTGCATCTGCATAGGAGAAAATAAATTCTTTAGCCCTTGGACCTTATGCTATGGCCAGTGAGACTGTGAAGTGTTTGCCACATTTTGAGCATTTTTAACATGATACCAACTGAACTATCTTGTAACCACACGTTGTTTACTGTGCTGCTGCACACATTTAAAATAAAATCTAAGCCCGTGGAATGGAACACTACAATCTGTGACGTTCTAGTTATATTTTCGTGTTTTGTATTCAGTTCTATTTTCTAACCAAAAACACACCTTTGCACATTTTCTGTGACTAACAAAATTATTGTAACATAGATGTGTACCTATTATCCCCCCCCCCCAAAAAAAAAAAAAAAAAAGATTTTAAAAAATGAACTTTTGAACCAGAAGTACCGCAATTGTGTACTGCCTTCCAAACAAAATGAACCATTTCGTTCGAAATAAAGTTCGTTAAATTTCAGTAAGCAAACCAGGGAGGTTTGTATTTATGCCTTTCATTAAAGAGGACAGTTCTAGACAGCGAGGCATCACCGTCTGTTTTGCATGTCAGAGACCCGAGTTCGATTCCCGAGTGAGAAAACAATTTCTATCAAGTATTTCCGTTATTTTGCGGAACTGTTGTATCTCTCCCAGCCTGACTTGCCCATGGTAGGAGACAGGTTGGAAGCCAGCTTCCTAAATTATATAAATTGTGTCGATATAGGTGTAAAAACACTTAGATCTATATGGAAAAAGAAAGATAATAAGGTTCTTAGTTTGAAAACTGCTTTATATAATAATTGATAATAGAAAGCATTTGTATAGCACAAATTCCCGCTCAACAACAAGCTCTATACGCTCTACAATCCATAACATTGTAAATATTAACTTATCAACAATATTCTTACATTTATGGTGTCTCCCCGGTCACATCTTTTAATGCGTTTGATCTTTCTGTTGCTTGGAAAAACAACAGGTTCCGAGACCCCAGTGGACCGGCCACTAGTCAGGCCAATCACCACACCATGTCACAAAAAGCTCCCAGGCCTGCTTCTACTCACCGACATTTCATTCATCACCTAGCGTATCGTTCGCCGACCAGTTAACATTTGAGGACTTACTGAAAGACTAGCTTTTGGTTTAGTAATAGTTTTATGACACTGACACTTGCAACACAATAAGGTCATATTTGTGCCGAAGACAAGAGGTGTTACTAGATAGTAACAAACAGACAAAGGTAGGAACAGAGATGAGGACGACAAGAAATGTTTAGAAGGAAAGAAAGAGCAAGCCATACTAAAGCACCCACCAACCACCAACCACCAACCACCAACGCTGGCAGACTTAACTTTTTACGAAAATGTAGTCACACCCTATTCCTCGTCTCCTTGTTTTACTTAAGTTGGCTATAAATTTGGTTTTCACTTTTCAATCAAAAGTTTAGCTTTAATGATGTAGACGAAGCTGGAGCGAATCTGTGGCAGACACCTTCAGAGCTCACGGGATGTCCTTCCTACAGGCCACTAGCTTTGTTGCAGACAGACGCCTGTGTCTCCCAGTGACACCAACAGGTACAAGAAAAGGAAAACGGTATAAGTGAAGTAAGTAAGATTCAGTGTGTTCAAGGCTGACGTATTTATCATTGCTGGAAGTGTGAACAATAAATGGGGAAATGGGGTGAAGTGAGTTGTAGGAAGGGAAGAATTGAGAGGGAGGGGAGGGTGGGGGATGGATAGGACCTCGTAATTGAGGGTGATATCCCTTGCCCTCGCACACTTTCCCTCGGTATTCATTAATTGTCTACTTAAAACAGTACGGTGGAAAATTACTCAACATACTCATCACTACCCTCGCAAGTGAATGCGAACGGCATTTCCTCACTCCCTCTCTCTTAGAAGAGCAAAGTTATCGCTACAAACATGATCTTCTCGAGTGCGCGAGTCGGTCTGTCGCTCCGCTCCGCTTCGTGTGCCTGTTGCGCGTGCGAACTGCTCACTCGCTACTTACCCACTCTCGCTTACCCTGCGTCACGTGTTGAGATTGTCCCGTCGAGAGAAATAATTGTGCTTTTTGTTGCAACTGCTGCGCTTATTTGACTCAACTGTTGCATTTCATCAACGGATAACGCCTCATTTCTGACTTTCGAAAAAATTGGATATTATTTTTTAATCATAATAATATACATGTATGCCGTTGGATAACCAATAATAGTATGCGTGTTGTGTTTAAATAGTGAACATTGAGTGTTATCTTTGTGATTCATTAGCTCTTTTTATTGTGTTCAAAGTAGGTTTTATAGAAACTTGCTCATAATGTACTTCAGTTAAAGTTGACATACCCCCTTTCTTTCGGGTTTAAATCATCATCAGTATCATTATTTTTATTATTACTATTATTGGGTTTTTTTATTCATCGTCATACTTTTTAAATTTTTTATGATCGTTACATTATTTTTAATATTATTATTATTATTATTATTATTATTATTATTATTATTATTATTATTATTATCATTATTATTATTATTATTGTTATCATAGTTGTTGTTATTGTTGTTATCATTATTTGTTACACTTGTTCTTTATTATCATTATAATTATTATTGTTATTATTATTATTATTATTATTATTATTATTATCATTATTATTTCTTGAACTTTTCTTTAAAACGTTTGTAAAAAATTTACCATAATCATTATAATTATCATCATTGTCATATTATATAACTTTAAATTAATTGAAAAAATGTCTTTGACGTTGTTGTTTTTTGTTTGTTTTTTTTGGGGGGGGGAGGGGGCGGACGTCGTTGAAATGTTAAGCCCAACGGACACAATGAGACACATTTCTAAGACACAATGCCCTAGATAAAGTATAATAATCTTTGCAATAACATATTATAGCAGATTCTGTTCGTAACGCATAACAACCAGAAGATAGTTTAAGGTGTGGGTGGTTTGCTGGTGCTCTGGCGTCAATAACTCCTTCTCTCCCACCAAACATCTTTTGTCACTATCTCGCCTCCTTTTTTTCTATGTATGTTACTCCTCATTTACGTGTGTAATCTTCGTCGCTTACATGACCTAATTGTTCTGTTAGTGTCATAAACTTATACTTAAACTAAAGCTTATAGATGTTTGTCATATTGTGCAGGGGTTTTAAGATATCGGTACATTAATCAGACAAAAAAATATAATACGTAACTCACTAAAAACTAAACGTATATCCAAGTCCCTTGGCTGAATACCCTTGCTTTTACAACGTTATTCCCTTCGTTAACTGTTGGGTTTTTTTTTGGTCTCCATTTTATGTAGAACATCACAGTCAAGTATCTGTCATTGTTAGCACAAAAGGGAACAATGAAATGTAGCTTTATCACGTGGTTTCTTTGAGCGTGTTTTGGGTGCAAGGAAAAGGTCAATATTTCCTAATTAGATCTTCAGCCCTCCTCCCCTCCTCCTCCTGGAAAAAATCCCACATAAACAGACAAAAGCTGCTCTCTCTTTCTCTCTCTCTCTCTCTCTCTCTCTCTCTCTCTCTCTCTCTCTCTCTCTCTCTCTCTCTTCCTCTTTAAACAGTGTCATTCAGCACGGAATGAGCGCATTTTAAATATCTATACCTGGGAATTGAATTTTGCTAAAAATTGAGAAAAATCTTGTAGTGTATCATGTATCGGTGAATTATGAAGACGTAATTCAGGTGGGGAGGGGGGGGTGGTGTAGGAAATATTCGTGCATTTTGAGGCATTTTGAGGATTACATAGAATAATACGACATTTCTTGGATAAATCTTATCGAAACGGAATCCTTAATTTTTAGGCATATTATGACCAGCACCCCGTATGTCGCGATTCCGAAGAGTGAGGCGCTTGTCAATTTGGGGGCATAATATGGAGTTACTGAAGTTATGATAAAACTTGTTCATTTACCTTTCTTTTCATGAAAAAGTTACACGTCTATCTTGAATAGAAGTCGAGATATTTGGTCCTGAAAGAGGTGGGGGATCGCCTTTTTTCAAAGGTAAAATTAGCGAGAAATTGGCCGCCAAAGTTTGAAGACTTCTTAAGCTTGAGTGTCCTTGGAAACTAGAAATCTACATTTTCCATGCTTTCCGGGAAAATCCACACAGAAATGTGTTCTAAATAAAAATAAAACTGTGAAGCCAAAAAAATAATAAATCAATAAAAATTGCCAATCAAGCAGAAAATGCCGGTTTCTTCGATTTAGGTATTTTGATGAGAGTCTGATTTCAACAAGATGCGTTACATATTGTAACAAAACGTCCATTGCACGCAAAAGGTAGAGGTTCAATTTCCGAAATTATTTTATCTAGTACAGGCATGGGTGACTTCTGCATACTAGCAGTTTCTTTCTAGTCCGATAAGCTGACCCAATAATGTTAATGAAAATAGCCCACGGTGAATTAATCATAAATAAAAACAAAACTGTCATTAAAAGTCAGTAGTATCTGGCCCACCTGGAAGCTATGTTATATATAAATTCCATGGGTGATATAGTTTTATAATGTCAGCTTTAGTGTCACTTTTGAGAGCGCAGGTATTTAACCCGATTTCACCCAGTTTTCTGCTGCTCCTGCCTGAAAGGTATTCGGGATATCTTGTTCTGCGGCTTGGATACGTTCGCCCACGACTAATGTAGTGCATCTGTAACTCTGTCTCTCTCTCAAGATGCTGCAACATGATGAGCCGGACTTGACCTTGATAAGCAGGGTACGAGCAGCCCGCATTGGGAGCAATTTACATATCTATCGCTAACTTCGAATTCTCAATTTCTATCTGACATTTTCGGCCGTTTTGAGTTACTAAAATCATGAGTTCAGAAACAATATTTTTAGTTTCTATCTGGTATATCGAAACTGTAAGAATATTCGGAGTCTATATCAAGATATAAGAGAAACTGCATTAGAAAAGCTTGGCATGATGGGACATTTTAAAATGTTGACGTTAAAAATGTCAAAACTAGAGCTACTAATCAGCTATATTTTTGTATTTCTTGAGTGGCGTGTCACCGGGAGAGCCACGTCTACTGTCAGAGAAAGTACACATTGAGAAAGCCTGGATAACAGATAACAATAATATAATTGAGGCTGCCTGAAGGCAAAATGTCCTACGAAGTAGAAAAAAAGTTCATTTAGACGAAACATCAGTTGCGATCAAGTTGGCAAGTTGAAGAACTAGCAGTTGTCTACCCCTGAGATCTAATTTGGAATGCAAAGAAAAAGAAAAAGAAGAAGAAGTAGAAGAAGACGAAAAAGAAGAAGAAGAAATTCTATCTATCTATCTATCTATCTATCTATCTATCTATCTATCTATCTATCTATCTATATGAGTCACGACGAGGTGGAATCAGGCGCTCTAAAGTGTTTAGATATGTGAAGCTATTGATATCATATTAAAGATAGTTGGTTTGTCTTGCTTTCGATAAAAAAGATACGAATCTATCATGAATAGAAGTTGAGATATTTGCCTCTGATGGAGGTGTGGTTCGCTGGTTTCTGAAGTAAAATTAGAGAGAAACGGCGCCAAACTTTGATTACTTCTATAACTTGATGGCCTTGGAAAAAGAAACGTTCACACTTTTTACCCTTAATCAACATTTTTGGGTAAAATCCACACATAAATGTGTTTTTATTTTTACTTTAAACATAAATTCGATAAAATTCGCGAAGATGGCAAAAACCTCTCACCAAAAGCAAAGATATAATATGCTAGGTATTCAGATTACTAAGACGAAAATATTGAAATTCTTGAAGTTGGAGCCTCAAATTCTTTGGCAAAGGTACATGCAAGTGTTCTGGGAATATTTTGTCCAAATTCAAATTCTAAATGTTGAAATAGAAGGAGAAAAAATATAAAAAGTAGAAATAATAGGTAAAAGAAGGGCACAGTTTTTGCTCTTATTTGAAAAAAAAATTAAACAGAAAAACAACGAAATTTGTTTTCTAGGCATAGTGCAGTTGAAAACCTTACCCGTGAAATAATATTAACTTACTTTTTGTAATACTTTTAAACCGTCTTTTTTCGGGAACAGCAAAGGTGATTCGAATAATACTATGACGTCATTGTGGAAGTGCTTACGTCAGCATTATGGCTCACCGGACTTGTCTTACGCTTGAAGAAATATTATGTAAAGAAATTTCTCGTGACGTTTCAGGAATTAATCTCATAAAACTAGCGTGTCATCTGCATTAAGAGAAGGAGAGAGAGAACAGGAGAGAGAGAGAGAGAGAGAGAGAGAGAGAGAGAGAGAGAGAGAGAGAGGGGTGGGGGTGTGGGTGGGGGAAGACACAGAGACACAGAGACAACAGAGAGAGAGAGAGAGAGAGAGAGAGAGAGAGAGAGAGAGAGAGAGAGAGAGAGAGAGAGAGAGAGAGAGAGAGAGATACAAAGACAGAGACAAAGACAGAGACAGAGACAGAGACAGGTAAGTGACTTGTTCCTGAAAAATGTACTTCCAACAGCATACACATTCATTGTGTAAATACGTGAGAAATATAGACGTCAAATCGAATCACACAAGTTATCTTGAAGAGATTTTCATCGTTTTTCCTCCATTTACCCTCCAGCTAATAATACACAGAGACACATCATACTACGTACTAACCATGACAGCGAAATTTCCGAGCCACCAATGTCTTGGTACACTTCGTACAAGCTTCAGTAGAACGTTTGTTTGTGTCAGTTCTATTGGATAAACTACACACCAGAGGACGGATATATTGCTCTGGATATTTCGTTAAAAAAAAAAGACCAACAGACTGGATAATAATTTTTATCATTTTGGATATGATTTTCGTTATTTGTGTCCGTGCTGTTAGAATACATCAGAATACGGATACATCGTTCTGAATATTTCGTAAAAACACACTGGATAATCATTAATTATTGTGATTAATATTATTGTTATTATTGTCTACATCTTTCATCGGATAAACCACACATCAGATCAGAATTCGGATACATCGCATTTATATCTTTCGTAAAAACAGATTGGATACTCGATTATAATTATTGTGATTGCTATTATTATCATCGTCATTATTGTCCTCATCATCTCTGTTGCCACAAGTGAGGACAGTGTCTAAGGATTCGTGCGGGTTTTGTTTGTTTGTTGTTTTTTTTTCGAACGGGATTATCTTCATCTGGAAAGAAAACAAGATCTGAAACATCAGGAGTTTGGAGACGCTCGCCAGTATTGTCGCCCAAATGGATATATCGGTGGCTGTAAGAAGTCTGCTGGTACTGGTCCAGCTGGTGGTGCTATTGCTGGGAGGTAAGTCTGGCGCTCCTTTACCTGTGTTCTCTCCCCTGTCTTTTAACGGTCACTCACACGGATATTACAATTGTGCATCGTCAAACTTGCTTTGGAATATTTTTTTTTTACACAGGTCCTGGGACCTAAAAATACCCCCAAAAATATGAATATATTGGGAAATAGAATGTGCCAAGCGTACATTTTATTTTTTCTAATGGTCCTTTTATGTCAAGGTATAATGTTGCATTCTCGATGTTATTGGTAAGTTGTTTAGATGAACTAAGCTCAAAACGCATTTTTTTTTTAGGCTGGACCAAAAAATAAAACATATTCTATTCTTTCAACAAGTTATAAACATATATTATGCTTTTTAAAATGGTTTTTGTCAATATTTAGAATTCGAATTGCGGCAAAAGATTATTTCTGAATCCTGTTACCAATACCACGGATTTAAACAATGTAAATTTTTTTAAGAATTTAAACTTTAGGGATTTTTAGATTTGAACAGCTGGCCGGAATTAAATAATGCAGACTGACTCACTTTGTCTTTCCACCTCAGTCCAGAAAATTACGGGATGGTTGACACGTGTCACTGGAACATCCTCCTTCTTCAATTTCTCTCTTCTTTCTGTTTGTCTGTTCGCTTGTCTTAATTTTTCATCAGTACTAAATGGGGAGGATTGTGTCTATATGCTCTATTTACTCAAACGAACAAATAAATAATATAGATAGCATTTGTATAGCGCAAATCCCCGCTCAACACCAAGCTCTATGCGCTTCACAATCTATACTATTACCCCAGCAAACCAGAGACCATTCTCAAACAACCTCAACTTCCTGGGAAGCATACTGTTGGAGCGGTCATTTTTAGGCGCTAAAACACTAACATAATTATTATTGACAAGATCTTTCGCTGTCTATGGCCGGGTACCCATTCCCACCTGGACACAACGTCGGGCCCTCGGCTCGAACCCCTGAACTCGTTACCTCACGATTACGAGTCCGGTAGCCTAACCACTAGGCCACCTATGTCACGTGATTGTGAAATAAGATTGTTACCTGGTAATGTTCCCACTTACCCCCTACTCCTCAGATTTATCATCATCATCATCATCATCATCATCATCATCATCATCATCATCATCATCATTATCATCATCATCAACGAGGTCCACACTGCCATCATTATTTCCCTCTGTGATTGTAGACTACACCAAAATTTGAAAGATCTTTCTTGTAAATATTACTTCTTAAGGCCAAAAATATACTAGCTCCGCACGCCTGTGGTCTGCAAACTGAAAGCGGTTGAATGATGCAAAAGCATAATATTATTAAACTATATTGTACTACCCATCTTTCCGTTGTCTTTGGGGATTGACCTCATTTGAGACAATGGCGCTGTCTAAGAAACAACGATTAGCATAGCAGTTGTATTAGAGAAAAAGAAGGCGCAGAGAACACCGATCATTATATTAACAGATTAAGAAAGAAAATAAGGTGAATATCATCACTTAATGACCAAGTTGCAGTATAATATTAAAAAGATCAAAGAGTATTTTGGAATTGATCTACATTATGGACATTTAACTATTTAATACACATTTGCTCACCAGACCTGTTAATTATGAGGAAAAACCACACGACATGTAAGAACGCTGAAAATCGAAATTTCCGACGCATTCGATGGTTTTCTAGTACGCTGAGTTCAAATTTAACCTTATACGGGGTGCCCACTACGGCTGGGATCGGCCGATCGAGTCGATCGCCCCGATTCGATCGCTTCAAAAACAAACGTGTTTGTTTTCAGTTTCAGGCGATCGAGTCGGGCGATGGGCCCGATCCAGCCGTAGTGGGCACCCCGTATTAGAAATGCGATTTGATGAAATCTTAAACATTTTTTATTTTGATTTTTCCTGTCCCGGCTGTGGCGTTGACTCATTTCCTGTCTAGGACCGGCCGTCCTGATAGATAGAATGCTGCATGCGACAACCAAATATGGCTGTCTCCAGACAACGTCTGCAAGCTGGACTTGGTATAATCGGCCCATCCGTCAACTCTTTGTTTTATAAGTAACGTCGGCACGCTGTATTTTGTCCGATAGTGTGTTGCCTTCAATCCAAACCTCAGTATATTATTATTTTCGGTCTGAGCCAAGACAATCATCATCAGTTCTGCTAATTCCCGGTTGTAGTAGATCTATACACTTTGCAGGGAAGCAGTATGTTGACAACTGATATTATCACAAAAAGCCACGCTATTGAACTGAGCTCTTCAGTCTCTTTTTCCCGTAGTTGCTTTTTAAAATTATTGTGTTTCTTACATTTTCGTCAGTTGTGGAAGAACAGGGTCAAGGTGAGGGTTAAGGGGGTTGGCCTTGTGTGTTTGTGTTTTTGTGTGTTTGTGTGTGTGTGCTTGTCTGTATTTGTGTGATGTGTGTATGTGTGTGTGGGAGTCTGTGCGTGTGTGTGTGTGTGTGTGTGTGTGTGTGTGTGTGTGTGTGTGTGTGTGTGTGTGTGTGTGTTGTGTGTGTGTAGGAGTAGGGGTGTATGAGTATGTGGGGGATGTGGGATGGATGGGGAATCTTTATGGGGTTAAAGGTGTGGTGGGCATAAAGGGGGTGTGGGTGTGTGGTGGGAATATTGGGTAGGGGGGATTTTTGTGTGTGTATTTGTGTGTCTGTGTGTGTAAATGTGTGTGTGTGTGTGTGTGTGTGTGTGTGTGTGTGTGTGTATGTGTGTATGCGTGAGTGTTTCTGTGTGTATGTATGTATGTGTATGTATTGGGTGGGAGGGGGGTAGGGGTAGGTGTAAGTGTATTTGTGTGAGTATGTGTGTGTGTGTGTATGTGT